ACCAGACCACCAATCAGGAGGCCTGGTCGACCAGACCACCAATCAGGAGGCCTGGTCGACCAGACCACCAACCAGGAGGCCTGGTCGACCAGACCACCAATCAGGAGGCCTGGTCGACCAGACCACCAATCAGGAGGCCTGGTCGAGCAGACCACCAATCAGGAGGCCTGGTCGGAGACAGGGCCGCGGGACATTAGTTCTCGGCAGTAACAATAGATACACAAGAAGTAGATACGAGAGCGCTTCCCTTTATATGCACCAAGGACTCGTATACATATTGACACCACAATAGCTTGATACATGTGTGAGAAAATCATTAGAGCAGGGCGGTGGGATCGAACCCACGTTCGAGATCACTAGGAGAGACCCCCCCTGAGCCTCCAGTGGGAGACCCACTCCAGTTCATTATTACTCCAGAGTGTGTGCTGGTAACACGTGAGAATTTGGACGGGCTATCAGCTCGGTGTCTCCCAGCTCTATCTGCTCTAGGAAATATAACTTGATATCTTTTTTTAGGCAGCTCCAGGAACTTTGTAAACAATGATCACACTTTGTAAAATGTGATCACTGGCAGGCTTGGCGTCTCTTGAAAACATTCTTGTTATGCAACAAGAATGTTTTGGATTACAATGATTACATTGTAATTCACTTGGATTACACCCAGGCCATATTGATGCAAGAACTTTCTATAACTTCCTTCAAGATGTTCTTGACGGTTCTCAAAATGTTCTGTAATAATGTGTTCATGTTCACAGAGACCCGAGTCGTGTTGACAGCGGTCAAGAGTGCCCATTAAAACTGTCATGTTTTAATGACCCGCAAAGAGTGAGGGGAATACGCATGGCTGCGGAACAAGTCATGGTCTTGTCTTGCCCGTCGGAAGAAATGAGGTCAGGGAGGGGAAGATGTTGTGTTTTGGGGAAGAAGGGAGTGTGTGTGTAGGGGAGGGAGGGGGGAGGGAGCAGACAGGTGGAGACATTCCTCAGATCTCTGGTCCATTATGGTTATAACCATCCCCTTATGGTCGACCTGGGAGACGGCCTGGTCGACGACCGGGCCGCGAGGACTCTAAGCCCCGGAAACACCTCAAGGAAGCACCTCAAGGTTATGTTTCATGTCCTGATTTAATTGTGTTCTCGGCCGTGGTCACGCCTGGCCTCGGGCCGGGCTTGGGGGAGTAGATGAACTCCCAGAACCCCATCAAGCAGTTACACTCCAGAGTGAGCAGATATCTTTGACACATGCGCGAGTTTTTACACTGAAGTTCTAGATGCGCCGGGAATGACTAATTGATATAATGTGCTCTCTTTTCTTAGCTAAACGAACTAGAGGGTTCAGTTCCTGAACCGATTATGTGCCTCTGTAATCCTTTACACCACCGCCCAAGGAATGGGTATGGGGTGCATAATAAATAAATAAATTAATTTCTTACCTATCAAATGATACAGAACGCCAGTCTTCATCTCAAACACATTAATTAACGCACTAATTTTCCTGGGGAGGGAAAACTTATCTCCTTCCAAATAATAAATTACGTCTGAAAACCTATATTTATTGAGCTGAAATTCGCGCATTTTATCGATCGTGGTTGTTTCGTTGGTTGTATCGATCGTGGTTGTTTCGTTGGTTGTATCGATCGTGGTTGTTTCGTTGGTTGTATCGATCGTGGTTGTTTCGTTGGTTGTATCGATCGTGGTTGTTTCGTTGGTTGTATCGATCGTGGTTGTTTCGTTGGTTGTATCGATCGTGGTTGTTTCGTTGGTTGTATCGATCGTGGTTGTTTCGTTGGTTGTATCGATCGTGGTTGTTTCGTTGGTTGTATCGATCGTGGTTGTTTCGTTGGTTGTATCGATCGTGGTTGTTTCGTTGGTTGTATCGATCGTGGTTGTTTCGTTGGTTGTATCGATCGTGGTTGTTTCGTTGGTTGTATCGATCGTGGTTGTTTCGTTGGTTGTATCGATCGTGGTTGTTTCGTTGGTTGTATCGATCGTGGTTGTTTCGTTGGTTGTATCGATCGTGGTTGTTTCGTTGGTTGTATCGATCGTGGTTGTTTCGTTGGTGTACGATCGTGGTTGTTTCGTTGGTTGTATCGATCGTGGTTGTTTCGTTGGTTGTATCGACGTGGTTGTTTCGTTGGTTGTATCGATCGTGGTGTTTCGTTGGTTGTATCGATCGTGGTTGTTTCGTTGGTTGGATCGATCGTGGTTGTTTCGTTGTGTATATTGATATCGGCGGGGGGCAAGATTTCTGCCGCGGGCGTGTCTGAAGCACCGTAAGACAACGCGGGTTTGTACAATCTGTTCTGTCGATTACACATGCTCTTGGACGCAGGTTCGAATCCTCGTCACGGCCCTTGTGGATTTGTTCATCTGCTGTCGATGCCCGAGGGTTCGTGGTCCCTTCTGGTCATTCGCTCAATCGTTTTATTCTTAACACTACGAGTCAATGTTCGGTGACCTGTATGAGGTACACAATGACACACCGGAATAAGTGTGTTCCTAATACCTCACACTCTCACTTGCCGCTAAAAGCTTCCTTATTAATGGCTGAATACCTTACTTCAGGTCCCTTTATTTTCGTGCTGAATTACGCAATATGGCATGAGTCACGGTGAATCTTTGAATCACAGTGAATCTCTGAATCACAGTGAATCTCTGAATCACAGTGAATCTCTGAATCACGGTGAATCTGATTCACGGTAAATCAAGCAACGACTGATTGTAATGCCAGTTGCATCTGTGAGAGCTTCTCAATCCTTTTCAAACTTATGGCCTGACTAAACAGGCTTTGTAATTATCTATGATGTTAATTCCTCATAAGCTTCTGCATGTTCTAGCGTCCAGAAGCAATTAGAAATTAGAAATCGGACATATTGAATTTGGACAGACTGGAAAAGATTGTCTAATTATGTTGCAAAGACAAACTAACCTAACCTAACCTAACCTAACCTTCTCTGAGGACTAATATAATTTATATATGTATGTGCTATATTAGGCCTAGGAATATTTAAGTTTGTTTTTTAGCTTGATTTTTTTTTACTATAAAGTGTATAGTACAAAATTCTACTATCCAATTCCTTAGTACGTCAATGTTTGTACTATGGTTGGGTTGGAGGATGGGCTGTCTCTCGCCACTTCAGGTTCTATATCACCTGAATTGGTGACACCTGAATTAGGTGACCTGTGGACCTGGGTGACCTGTGGACCGGAATTAGGTGACCTGTGAATTAGGTGACATGTGGACCTGAATTAGGTGACCTGTGGACCTGAATTAGGTGACCTGTGGACCTGAATTAGGTGACCTGTGGACCTGAATTAGGTGACCTGTGGACCTGAATTAGGTGACCTGTGGACCTGAATTAGGTGACCTGTGGACCTGAATTAGGTGACATGTGGACCTGAATTAGGTGACCTGTGGACCTGAATTAGGTGACATGTGGACCTGAATTAGGTGACATGTGGACCTGAATTAGGTGACCTGTGGACCTGAATTAGGTGACATGTGGACCTGAATTAGGTGACCTGTGGACCTGAATTAGGTGACATGTGGACCTGAATTAGGTGACCTGTGGACCTGAATTAGGTGACATGTGGACCTGAATTAGGTGACCTGTGGACCTGAATTAGGTGACATGTGGACCTAAATTAGGTGACATGTGAACCTAAATTAAGAGACCTGTGGACCTGAAATAGGTGCCCTGTGACCCTGAAGGAGATAGCTCAACAACTCGTCAAAGGAAGTTTGAAGGACATAATTGATGTCTTTAACAGTTGTGGGATGGATCAGTAATTTTAATTGGTCGCTTGGGGTCACAAGGGAAGGGTCGACCCGCGTGGAAACGTATTCTCATACTTTACCACTCCGTTAAAATTGCAACTGTTTCCCCCTAATCAGGAAGGTTGGCACCTAAGCATCCCAACCTATGAAGACTGAGGCATAGAAAACGTAAGGTCCGACACGATTACTCCCAGGTCTGACAAGAATTCGTCTCAGAATTGAGAGGGATGGGGTATGAAGAGAGACTGAAGGAACTAAACTTGGAGGCTTTAGATAAGAGGAGACAGAGGGGAGACATGATAGAGACCTATAAAATACTTTGGGGGGGAGTGATCTGGAATAAAGCAGTAACTATTCTGGCAGGTGTTGCGCCAATCTCACATTAATTACAAAAATATATAAAATAAAACTGCTGGGTCGTATTACTGTGTGTCAATTGCAGGCAAAAAATAAAGAGAATAAAAACTTTAAACATTTAATATAACAACAAATTACTCAAATAACATCAGAGCGGACCTCTGATGTTTATACAGTGTTCTCTGATTGTGCCTATGGCACCTCTGCTCTTCACTGGTTCAATCTTGCATTTTCTTCCATATCGTTTACTCCAGTACGTTGTTATTTTGCTGTGTAGATTTGGGGCCTGTCCCTCCAGTATTTTCCACGTGTATATTATTTAGTATTTCTCTCGTCTCCTCCTCTCTCGTCTCGGAGCTGAAGCTCTACCCGCGCAAACACGTGTTGGTGAGCAGGTGAGTACACACTCAGCCACAAAAACACACTACACTACGGCAGCCAAACACACACACACTACACAAACAAACCCTCCTGAATTATCAATGTGTGAATCTTGGTGTGTGTGTGTGTGTGCGTGCGTGTGTGTGTGTGTGTGTGTGTGTGTGTGTGTGTGTGGGTGTGTGTGTGTGTGTGTGTGTGTGTGTGTGTGTGTGTGTGTGTGTGTGTGTGTGTGTGTGTGTGTGTGTCAGTTGGTGAACGGCGAACTGGATACAACGAGATTCACCCGTGTCTTGTCAGAATGGTTGTGTATGTGTGTGTGTGTGTGTGTGTGTGTGTGTGTGTGTGTGTGTGTGTGTGTGTGTGTGCGTGCGTGATCACGCAAAGACAGGGAAGCCTTAACGGTGGAGGTAATTTAAGAAATATGCATAAATCACATCTGACCATGAAATTGGGGACTAACACTCATGTTTGTGTGTGTGTTACAGGAGGGAAGACTTCGCTGTTGACCACACACTCCTGGAATATGGTATGTGTTTGTGTTCTCTCTCTCTCTCTCTCTCCCTCTCAGTCTCTCTCTCTCTCTCCCTCTCAGTCTCTCTCTCTCTCTCCCTCTCAGTCTCTCTCTCTCTCTCTCTCTCTCTGTCTCTCTCTCTCTCTCTCTCTCTCTCTCTCTCTCTCTCTCTCTCTCTCTCTCTCTCTCTCTCTCTCTCTCTCTCTCTCTCTCTCTCTCTCTCTCTCTCTCTCACACAACTCTTCAGTGATTGTCAGCGACAATTTGCACTGTGATTCTGGAGAGTTTGCTGCCTTGCCTTGGCTACACTCTACTTGGTGGTGTGAGCCGCGGGATGGCCAGTGTGTGTTTGTCAAACACTTCTCTTAAGGACAAGCCCATCAGGCTTAACTCTTTGACAATAGTTAGTTCATTATCACACTTCCTATATTGTGTGATATGTTTGTGTGTGTGTGTGTGTGAACCCCAGAAGGATTCGAACCCAGACAGCCAGTAACACTAAACACCTTGGCGTACCTGGTACCTTAACCACTAGACCACATTGACTGTACAAAAGTCTTGATAGTTGTGAGACTATTCATCCAAGATCCGACAGCGCTCAGATTTACTGTGTATTAGATATATTAGATATGGGCATAGATATTTCATTGAATCATCTTAATTGGTGAAGTGATAAATAGGATAAATCTTGGATAAATAGGATAAATCTTGGATAATAGGTTAAATAGGATAAGTCTTGGATAAATAGTCTCGACTTCCAAGATTTTTGTAGAGTGAGTGTAGTCTAGTGGTTAAGGTACCAGGTATGACAAGGTGCATAGTAACTCAATCTGAGGACTCACGCCAATCTGAGTTCTCACCCCTCAATGTAACTCTCTGCTTCCTATTGCTTAGGTACGCCCTTATCCAGTGGAGTGGAGAGGCGGGCCGAAAGAGGAGAGCTCAACCCCCCGCAAGCACAACTAGGTGAATGCACACACACACACACTCTCCAGAGAGATAAAAGCTTCCAAACTTACTGACAGCTTCGCTCATGCTATTTTTGTGGGCGAGAGCGATAGCGAGAACAAGAGCGAGAGCAGTAGCGAGAAAAAGATCGAGAAAAAGAGAAAACCACCGTTTTTTACTTAATGAAGAGTCGCAGTAAGAGCCGATCTTTCTCAAAGAAGACAATATGCAGCCAACTCCCATACACACACTGCCTATGACAGTCCCCTACCCGCCATGAGTCACCCTGAAAAGTTGGGTGAGGTTCGTCCCAAGCATCTAAGGGCGCACGAACATCCACGTTTTCTACGAGTGACTCGGTTAGCTTAGCCTAGCGCTTTTTTATTTTTTGGTAGTCCATATCTTGTCCTTTCTGGCGAGGCATGAGGACGACCCAGATGTCTGTAATGGGAGGAGAATACAGGACTTTGGTAGTGATTATTTCATAATATTACTTGTATCACATCCCGCCATAGGAGACCCGGAACACCTTCCCGAATCGCCATTGAATGAGCGACTTGTAAATAGTTTGTTTAGGTGGTGGGTGTATTGGAGGCGGTTGAGAGGTTAGGTTGTGGTGGCGGGGGGTTGTGGTGGGCGGAGGTTGTGGTGGGGGGGGTTGTGGTGGGTGGGAGATTGTGGTGGCGGGGGGTTGTGGTGGGTGGGAGATTGTGGTGGCGGGGGGTTGTGGTGGGAGGAGGTTGTGGTGGTGGGGGGTTGTGGTGGGAGGAGGTTGTGGTGGCGGGGGGTTGTGGTGGGGGGAGACAATGGGGCGGGAGTTGGGTTACGGGTCGAGCAACTGTCTTAACCATCTCTTTTATGCTTCTCACATTAACAATTACAACCAAGTGTTAATAGCTGCAGTGTGCAGGCAACACTGTCACGATAGCTGCAGTGTGCAGGCAACATTGTTACAATAGCTGCAGTGTGCAGGCAACACTGTTACAATAGCTGCAGTGTGCAGGCAACATTGTTACAATAGCTGCAGTGTGCAGGCAACACTGTTACAATAGCTGCAGTGTGCAGGCAACATTGTTACAATAGCTGCAGTGTGCAGGCAACACTGTTACAATAGCTGCAGTGTGCAGGCAACATTGTTACAATAGCTGCAGTGTGCAGACAACACTGTTACGATAGCTGCAGTGTGCAGGCAACACTGTTACAATAGCTGCAGTGTGCAGGCAACACTGTCACGATAGCTGCAGTGTGCAGGCAACACTGTTACAATAGCTGCAGTGTGCAGGCAACACTGTTACAATAGCTGCAGTGTGCAGGCAACACTGTTACGATAGCTGCAGTGTCCAGGCAACACTGTTACAATAGCTGCAGTGTGCAGGCAACACTGTTACGATAGCTGCAGTGTCCAGGCAACACTGTTACAATAGCTGCAGTGTGCAGGCAACACTGTCACGATAGCTGCAGTGTGCAGGCAACACTGTTACAATAGCTGCAGTGTGCAGGCAACACTGTTACAATAGCTGCAGTGTGCAGGCAACACTGTTACAATAGCTGCAGTGTGCAGGCAACACTGTCACGATAGCTGCAGTGTGCAGGCAACACTGTTACAATAGCTGCAGTGTGCAGGCAACACTGTTACAATAGCTGCAGTGTGCAGGCAACACTGTCACGATAGCTGCAGTGTGCAGGCAACACTGTCACGATAGCTGCAGTGTGCAGGCAACACTGTCACAACAGCTGCAGTGTGCAGGCACTGTATATTTTATATGCAATATATATATATATATATATATATATATATATATATATATATATATATATATATATATATATATATATATATATATATATATATATATGGGTGAGGAATACATTAGGCAAACTAGAAACTCAAGAGCGGCCAGTATCCTGTTCGCGATCCAGAGAGGAAATGCTTGATGTATCTTGGGGTACGGACCCCACCTCCGGAGAGCTGGGTGAGGTCTTCAGTGATTGTTATATATGTGTGTGTGTGTGTGTGTGTGTGTGTGTGTGTGTGTGTGTGTGTGTGTGTGTGTGTGTGTGTGTGTGTGTGTGTGTGTGTGTGTGTCTGTGTGTGTGTGTGTGTCTGTGTGTGTCTGTGTGTGTCTGTGTGTGTGTGTGTCTGTGTGTGTCTGTGTCTGTGTGTGTCTGTGTGTCTGTGTCTGTGTCTGTGTGTGTGTGTGTCTGTGTCTGTGTCTGTGTGTGTGTGTGTGTGTATGTGTATATTTTTCATTCCCCCCCTTGGGCACTAGTAGCGTCGAACATCCGACCCCCCGGCATGGAAGACAACTGCGCTACTGGGCTAGCCATAAAAGGGAAGGCTCCCAAGACCACTAACTGTTAACCAATAGAGCGCTGCCATCCCCGGGCTTCCACTCCAGGACAGGAGAATTAGGTGATCCACGCCCTGAGTCATGTAAACTGTTTACCCCATTACCGTCCATGTAACATTTCATTCACCCTGCGCACCAGCAGCCTCGGACTCGACCTATTTTTAAGGCTAGCCCGTGCAGGACCAACCGGGCTGTGGATGGATATATATATATATATATATATATATATATATATATATATATATATATATATATATATATATATATATATATATATATATATAAATATATATATATATATATATATATATATATATATATATATATATATATATATATATATATATATATTGGGGGTACCACTTCTGGTTGCGTTTGTAAGGACCCTCGACCTCGAAGAAGACAATATGCAGCATCCGGGGAAGTCTTGTGGGGCACCCGCATTGGGGTGACGATAACCCAACCTGAACCTGGCCACCACTGTGGCTCACTGTCTGCTGGACGTTTTGTCCCCCCCCCCCCCATATACATAGGTATCAAATCTCAACAAACCGTAACTTTTTTATGGTAGTGCCTTCAGACCTTTGGGAGTCTGAATTATCTATCAGACCTGAATGTTTGTAGCAGTATTGACAACATGGTCTTGTTTTTTTTGCATTAGGTACATCTGCATTTGTGCAGCTACCCTAGATTATATGAAGAGGAGCACAGTGTGTCAAAAAGCTAGCTATGTGGTGCTAAAAAATCCCCATTACACAGGATGGTTAGTCATACAGAGGCATGTGATAAGTAGTCTGCACTTTCAGACTCAGAGTGCATTATGAGGATATCATCAGCACAAGAGTGACTAAAGCAGCAGTGATACTAAAAGTTCCCATCTCGCAGGATGGTTAGTTATACAGGGCCATATGTTCAGTGGCACTTTCTTACCTCCCGTAAGTCTACGGCTGCCTAAGGTCGTGTTTCACTATGTGCTAAGTCACTAAGTCCCTATGTGTGACTTCCTGTGCTAAGTGTGTGACGTCCTGTGCTAAGTGTGTGACTTCCTGTGCTAAGTGTGACATTTTAGCATTGATGCTAAAATGTCCCCATCTCTCACGATGGTTAGTCAAACGGGGCGACGTGTTTAGTAATCTGCACCGGCCAATTATGGCCGGGCTGTGAGACTCCAGTGTGCGGGCGGCATTTAGCCGCCTGGTTGACCTGATCGCCAACCACGAGGCCTGGTCAGTGACCTTACTACGGGGACATTGATCCTCGGAGCCAACACACGCAGGAATCCACGTGGTAAGGTAAGCATCTCTCACAAATCCGGTGATACTTGGGATGTCATTAACGTGTCAGGTGTAGCCATCAGCACCTGGCGTAAACACACGAGGGTGGTATAAACTCAGTTGAGGTATTTACAAAGGTGATTGGTTCCCGCTGGTGCCGCGTGGTGCCGTGGGGGCGCTACTGGTCGGCTCCGGAGCCGGCTCTGAGGAGGGGGAAGGTGGAGGGGTCAAGAGGAGAGAGAGAGAGAGAGAGAGAGAGAGAGAGAGAGAGAGAGAGAGAGAGAGAGAGAGAGAGAGAGAGAGAGAGAGAGAGAGAGAGAGAAAATTTCCCTTACCAAAGTAGGAGAAACAAATATGTATGTATATGTATATGTGTAAGCTGGCCAAAGTTGCATTTCACCTCTGTAAACGCACATCACTCGTATTATGTATAAAAGAACAT